TCTCCCCCAAAGTAAGCTATAGGGTAAGCAAGTCCTGGGCTCTGCCCACTCTGTTCAGGGCAGATTATGTGTTTATTGTTAAACAGCTGTTGATAATAAGCAGAACATGTTATCACCACTGCTGTGTGCTGTGGCAAGCGGGGTAGGGAGTCATGTGCTTCTTGCTTGCTTTTTGGCCTCAGGACACTTGTGTTCTTGTTTGTACAATAGCTCTGCTTGGAGAGCAAGAATAAAAAATACCTTGTTTTCTCCCTTACCAGATCACTGTTTAGCATCGTGCTACATCTCTCTCGTGGGAAATACAGGTTAGAGACTCTCAGGTTGGGGAGGGAATTGAATCCAGATGTTGTGTTTTCTGGGCAAGTGTTTGAAGTGTTTGGTTGTTACACAAAAAAGGGGAACCAGCTCATCCAACCTGGGGGTAAGAGTTGAGCTGTCAGCCTCCTGTGATAACTCTCATCACGGTGGTTTTGCTGATGTGAAATGACTGTGCCAGAGATCAGGAGGAACCCGGGGTACCAGGTTTTCATGAGCCTTTTCTGCTTTGGGTCAGTGCCACAGAAAGGACACCTCATAGCTGGGTACAACCACCCCAGACGTGGATGTCTCACAGCAGGGCATGGTCCCAGCAAGCAGATGAAAATGCAGGGAGGGAAACATAAGGTATTAAAGTGAGTTTTTCCATTTTAAAAATGATGTGTAAGTTAAATACGGTTCATTAATGGTTGGGCTCAAAGATCTTTAGATCTTTTCTAACCTTATAAATTCTATGATTCTATGATTCTGTGATTCTATGATTCTATTTAAGTGTTCACCCTAAAGACACTGTTTGTTGGTAGGGTGGCCAGAAAGGATGTGTTTGCATCCTTCAGAGGGAATGGACTCCATGCAAACATCTCATACATCCATAACTCCCTTGGAAAAGCCCTTGCTATCCTTGATCCTGGCTTCCCAGTGTGATCCTGCCCACCCAGCCTCTGAGAATCAGCTCAGACAGGGAGGGCCTCAGAGGTGTAGCTTCACTTTGTGTGGCTCTGAGAAATCCTGTTCAGCACCAGAGAGTGGATTCTCCTTTAGGCTTTGAGATCAACTTTCTGTGTGCTCATTATCCCTTGGCAAGAGGTGCTTGGTGATTATTTTGACCCACTTCTGTACTCAGTTGGATGACAGGAAAATAAGCAAGAGGTGTCAAGTCTACAGCAGAGGAATATTTTGCCTCAGTGTGGTTGAGCCACCCCAACACAGCCCTGAATGTGTGAAGAGCTCTGCTTAGCCTAGCTTTGTCACTCCCAGCAAGAAAAAGGCTGTATCCGTGTGAGTGCCTGCCTCTTCATGCTCATACCCATCCATTCAACATGCCCAGCACCCTGTGAACATTTTGGTCACAGCCCTTTCCCCGAGACACAGGCGGATTGGGGAACTGGAAGTTTACAAGGCAGCGGTGCAAGCACTGGAATTCCTCTTGCTCTGCGAGCACTGAACCGCTGGCATCGTGAGTCCCTTTCCCTCCCCTTTGCACCAGCTCACATCTGTTCTTACTCATATGTGACAAAAAAAGACTACCTGAGTGCTGGGGGGAAGGAAAATATTCAAAGGCAGCAGTGGCTGCCTGGAGCAGCTCTGGGAAACACAGCTCAAGGAGAAGCCTGTGCCCCACCTGGGTCCTGTCAGCTCAGGCCAAGGGGGCTACTGAGGACAAATGTGCACGGTGACAGCAGTCACCAGCTCCTACAAAGCCTCAGCCCGTGGTGCTAGGGGTGCAAATGCACCCAGGATCTATCTGTGTGAGCTTCCAGGATGTCTGTGAGCTCCCAAGGGGAGTGGGAGGGCAGAATCTCAGTGGGAGAACAAAACAAGGGGGAGGAAATCAAATTTCCATTGGATAAAGCCCTGTACTTACTGGTAAAAGAACTCAGGTAAGACAGGAAAGGTTTACTAGAACACATTTTTACCTGTTAAGGATGGTATTTTAGGACATGGGTATCAAACACAGCAGGCTCTCTGTGTTTGTGTGGCGTCAGTTACATCATGCTTTTGATGGTAATTTTGCCAGGGCCAAGAAAACAGATTAGTATACAAATCACTTTCAGTTTTATTCCATTTTGACATTTCAGGGTCTCCAGCAACTTGGCATCACTCTGCGGAGCCAGAAATATTTGTGTGCTAAAAGTGTGTTTTGAATTACAAATATTTCCACGTTCACAACACATAATTTAAGGCACCAGGAACGTTCCTCCGCTCGATTGCCAAGCAGCGTTTTTGGTGCAGGGCAGCCTCTTGTATGCACATGGTGAGGATGAGGATGCTCATCCCCTATGCAGGACATGTGGCTTCTCCTGTTCTGCTTCTTTGGGGTGGTTGGTTTATCAGGAGAGCAAAAATCTCTTTCGAAAGCAGCACTGTGGGAGCTGCTGCGGCTCCAGGGCGGGTGTGGGAAGGAGTCTATAGGTGCTGACCTACATTTAAGCAAGGAGAGCAAGCTGGAGCTGTGCCAGCTCTTGGGATGGCACAAGGGCATTTTCCCTCCAAGCCAGGTCTGCCACCATCGTGGCGTACGAATTCACTCCCGCTGAAAGGTGGCAGACTGACATTCAAAACGTGGTGGGGGAAAAAAAGGCACCTTGTTCTTAATAATTTTTCCTTTCTTTGTGCTGATAAAGTACAATGGGACATTTAAATCTGATTTTTATAACATTTTGCATGGCTATAGATCACGGTCTGACCTGGAGAAGACACTTTATTCTGACTACAATGATTTGATATTTCATATTTTAGTTGTTTTTTCTTTTTTTTTTTTTGGTCTTCCCCGTAGTATTTCTGTTGCATTCTGGCACAATATGGGCTCCCTCCAGTGGTCAAGGGGCTCCGGGCTCCTGGTGCCGCTTGCCCAGGGGCTGGCACAGGCTGGCTTTGGTGCTGGCATCACAAATACGGACAGGAATCATGCTGGGGCTGTACTTCTCTTCCCCTCTATGCCCTGCTGTGGATGCAATCCCACTGCCAGCAGTAACGGCCCTGCTCTGTAACCCACATTCAATCCAGATTTAAGTGGAATGGCCTGAGCAAATAAAGATTTGGGCTCTGGATTTCCTTGCAGTTCCCAAAACGTTCGCTGCAGAAGGGGCAGAGGAAGCAGGAGAGGAGACAGGACCAGAGAGGATCTGCTGAAAGACCCAGACACAACAATTTTTAGCAAAAATGACTCATTTTTGCATTCCACTCCTCCCCGTGGTATTCTGAGACCAGATCCTGATTCTCTCCTCAAACAAACAGTTAACACGGTTACTGCGGGAGGCAAACCAGCCACTCTGAAACCTGACATTTCCATCTCCCCTCTCCGAGGTTCACAGTACCCGGGGGGGTTCCCTGCTTTGCTTAGCAATGACTTCATCTGAAATAACTGGGATTATTTTTGGAGGCACCTGGGTAGGAATGGGGATCCCCTGTGCAGAGCCCTGCAGAGGGGGTGTTGTGGAGCACTGGGCTGTGTCTGTACATACACCCAGAGTGTAACCCAGGTGTATCCATGTGTGTCTACACCCATGTGGCACACCTACACCTCTGCAAGGTGTATCCCTTTGCACACACGCAGCCACGGACACGCCAGGGTACAGGTAGAGCCAGAGGGATGTGTGTTCAAGTCAAGGGATGCTGGAAAGGGCAAGAGAGGGCTGTTGGCACCTCGGGGTGCAGCGGGACCATGTTTCACCCCTGCTTTCCCCTCTCCTCCCGCCCCAGATCAGCCCCCTTCCCATCCCCATGGAAGGGACCCCCAGCGTGGGGGTGTGAAGGAGGGGTGAGCGCACCCAGGGTGTGTGTGAAGGCCCCCTGCATCCCTTTGATGGCGGGGGGCACAGCTCTTTCGCCGTGTCTGCCCCTTTCCAACCCCCGAGGGGGTTTGCGAGGGAGGGCAGAAAGCACCGAATGCCGTTTGCACGGGGGTCTGTGTGTGTCTGCACCCCTTGATGGGGGGGGGGGGCACAGCTCTCCCCTCTTCTCCCCCTCCAGCCCAGAGATTTGCAGGGAGGAGGGGGGATGTGAATGCACCCACGGTCGTTTGCACAGGATGCGTGTGTGTGTTTGAAGCCCCTCTGGACTCGTTTGGTGGGGGGACACAGCTCTCCCGTCCCCCCCCTCGCCGTGTGGGTGTTTACGAGGGAGGGGTGGACGCCCCGACGGCCGCTGGCAGGGGATGCTTGTGAAGGCACCGCCACCCGTGGGCACGGGGTGGGGGCGAAGCACCTCTACAACCCTTTTTGGGGGGGGTGGGCGTGTGTGTGAAGCCCCTCTGCACCCCTTTCGAGAAGGGGGGGAAAGTACATCCCTCCCGATTCCTCCCCCTCCGCGGGTGTTCACGGGGTATGTGCCTGTGTCTGTGTGAATGCACCGACACTCACTCGCAAGGGGTGGGTGCAAAACCCCTCTACACGCCTTTGGCGTGGGGTGTGGGGGAGCACAGCCCCTCTAAACCCTTTCGGAGGGGTCACAGCTTTCCTGTCCCCCCTCCTCTCCCTCCCGCGGGGGTTAACGCTGGAGGGCGGGGGGGCTGTGTGTGTGAGAAAGCACCGAATGCACCTACACCTACTGGCAGGAGGTGCGGGATGAAGCCCCCCTACACCCCTTTTTTTGGGGAGGGAGGTGTCCCATCTCTCCCCCCTTCTCCCCCATTCCCCCCCCACCTTCCTGAGGGCGGCCGCGCGCGCGGCCGCGACGGGAGGGAGGGCGGGCGCGCGCCCGCGGTGGGCGCGGCCTCGCCGCTGATTGGTTGCGGCCGCCGCGCTCATTTGCATGTCGGGGTAGGGCGGGGCTTTCCCCCCCTTCCCCTCCGCGTCACGTGGTCCGCGCGGCCGGGCGGTGCAGGGAGGGGGGGGGCGGTGATCGCGGCGCTTCCTGTTCGCGGGCAGCGCGGGAGGGGGCGCGCGCGCGGAGCCGCCCCGCGGTCTCGCGCTGCCTGGCGGGGCTCTGTCAGTCAGCGACAAAATGGCCGCGGCGGCGGCGGCAGCGGCAGCGGCTCCTCTGCTCCCCAGGGCGGCACCGGCACCGGCGGCGGCGCGGAGGAGCGGGGGACCGGCCCGCCAGCACTGAGCACCCCCAACAACCCCCTCCCCTCCCCGGCACCGCCTTGCCCTGCGAGCGGACGGAGGCGAGAGCGAGCGCGGGAGGAGAGACGGCGAAGAGGCGCTGCGCCCCCTCCCCCGCCCCCAACGCCCCGGCGGACCGACCGACCCTGCCCGAGGCGCTGCTGCGGCTCCCCGGGGACGCGCCGCCGCCTCCCCGCCGACCTCCCCCCCCGGGTCCCGGCTGCTCCCGCCGCCCACCCGGATCCCCGCCGGATCCCTGCGGAGGACACGGAGAGAGCCGCGGGATCCCCCGCCCCGCGCGCCCGCCCGCGGACCCCGCTGCGAGCACAGACTGTCGGGTTTCCCCCGCTCCCTCCTCCCTCCGCGAAAGACTTTTTGCTGGATCCTCCTCCCCGGATCCCCCTCCCCGCGCTCGCTCCTTCCTGCGGGAGCGGCCGCCGGATCCTCCTTCCCGGCCCGGATCGCCCGCGGGGTCCCTGCGGAGCCGCGGACCCTCCTCCCCTGGCAGAGACACCGCTGGATCCTCCGCCCCCCCGGAGCTCCCGGCGGGATCCTCCTCCCGCCCGCAGCCCCATGTGAGACTCCGCGTTCCCCCCCGGTGGCTCCGCCGTGGTGTTTTATTTTTCGCTCTCCCCCCCTCCTCCCTCTTTTATTTTGAAGGGGGGATCCATCTTAAAACTCTCTCTCTCTCTCTCTTTTTTATTTTTTTTTTTTCTCTTCTGGATTCCGGTTTCTCTTTTTTGATTTGCACTTTTTGAAAAAGCCCTCAGATGCTCCTCCATGTGGACTGAGAACCCATCAAGGCACACACAGCACGAGAACTCATCCCGATCAACTCCAAATCCTGGCTTTTCGTGGGTTTTGCTGCAACACATAAAAGCAAACTTGTATTTAAGACACACTCGTGCAAAAATTTAGCTGGGGACTTGAACGTGTATTTTTGTCTTGGTTTCTTGGTCTTGGTTACATATATTTTTTTTGGTTTTTATTTTTGCTTCACTGGAAGTCAAAAGCTTGTTTTGGAATTGGACCTGCTTTTGCTGCACTTCTCCTCTGGGCTGGATAACACTGAAGCTCTTTGCTTTTCTACTTGGATAGTGTTTTCCTGTTGATCTGTTTTGTTTTTTTTTTTTTTCATCTCCTGTGTGGCAGACTTCTTTTTTTTTCTGAGGGGGGTAAACAAACGACAACAACAAAAAAAAACTTAATTTTTTTGGCCGTGTGAGATTTTTTTCGTATTCAGATTCGTGAAATTACGGGTACACTTACAAAAAAATTTAAAAAAGAAGCATTAAAAATAAGAAAGGAACACGTCAGAAAGACCCCTACACGATAGACAAAAATACTCACTTGTTTCCTTACAGCAAGACTGAATCGAAAGCTGCCAAAGAGCCCCATAAAGAAAAGACTAAAAGGTAAGAAGGGTTAAGAGCCTCTCTGAATCCGGGCATGTTAGAAGTTAGCAGGGAAGAGACCTGCTAAGCTACTGCATTCCTCCTTTTTTCACAAGTCTAAACCAGATTATTATATTTTTTTAAACTGTTTATTAGTCAGTGAAGCAAGTACCACCCCGAAACACTTCAAAATCCATTTGTTTTTATACGTGGTGTGTTTTTTTTATTGTGAACTGCTCGCGGATTTTTTTTATAATGCTAGAATTAATTCTGTATCTTTGTCCCTTTCCCCAGTTGCCGTCGCTGTTTTTCACCCAACAGCGATTTGAAATACCATTTGTGAGCATGTTGTGCCACTCAAGACATGACACGAAAGCAGGTTCTGCTGCAAGGCACGACCGTGTGCTCTTGGTTTAGAACTTACACGTGTGAAAATCATCTCAGAGCGCTTTGGAAATGATCCCAGGGCTGGAAAATTGTGGGCATGGCCAGCACTGCTGCTCTGTGGCCGAGCAGATGAGCTCCAGCTTTGTCCTTTCGTGGCAGCTTTCTCTTAAAAGTTAAAACATCTCGGTTTGTTTTTTTTTTTCCTCTTTCCCCCCACGGAATGAGGCTGTGGGGGTCCGCAGTAATTTTCTCCTGAGTGTTCAGAGAGATGTTCCTCTAAACCTGAAATGTCCATGGGCAGGGAGAATATTAAACAGAGTTTATTCCTTTAACTGCGACGCAGAATGGGAGGAAAATGGGGAGGGCTCAGTTGTTAACCTGAGAAATCTTGAAACACTGGAAGTTTATTAATTGTTTGAGGCTTCTTTGTTTGTATCACAAGTTTGTGTCAAAGGTTAATCTTCTTAATATGTAATTAGTTGAAGGTTCAATTATGGGATTTATTGAACTCAGTTGGGTTTTTTCTCCCTAGTTTTCCATTAAATGTAATGCTGCTAGTCTTTGTGGCTAGTTTTATTTTCTGCTACAACTCCAGTGTATGTGCGAGAAGAGATTTATTCAATTATTCTAACAGCCAGTTTAAATTTAGAAATAATCTTGGGTACGTCATACCCATGTCTGTTGCATATTTCCCCCCCTCGTTTGCATATGGATGTATCTGGCGAATTATGCTAATTTATATACAGAAATTTGCTTTGGACATTAGGCCGGTTAAGGTAATTAAAATTCCAATAAATCCCGCTGTTAGTGGGCTGGTCGATGGTGCAGAGCTTTAAATCAGGTGGGTGTCGGTGGTGCCGTGGACCTGAGGACAATGCCAGAGTGGAGGAGCAGGAGAACATCTGCACTGCTGCTGGATGCACTGGGGAAGGAAAGCATGGCTTCCAAATCCTGCCCTAATCCCATGCGGTGGGTGGGTTTTTTTTTTTTTGGCTTCACTTACGACTGAGAATTTTTAAACGCAGTTTCCTCTCGGATATTACATTTTTTATAATAATTTCAAGAAAGTGGTGGGAAGGTACGCACAGATTCTCACTGCTTCCCCCTGTGTTTTCCAAGGAAATAGTAGGTGATTTGCAGCGGGTGCAACCTGTGCTTAAAGCACATCACACAGTTTTCCACCGTCGCGGTTCCTCAGATTCAGAAATCCCCGGGATATCGGTCTGGCCGCTCCAGTGTGTTATTTGTGAGCTCAAAATGGTGTGCTGAGGAACCAGCCCCCGGATGCACTGGCGTTCCTGCTCTGGCTTCTGGAATCCTTTCCAGAACGTGAAAGCATCAGTGTCAGCCCTGCGTACGCCAGTGAGAAAACTGCTCCAGCCTGTGGGAGGCTCGGTCTGTCATTGGTAACACTGATGCTGCTTTTTGGGTGAGATTGTTGCTTTTTGGGTGAGATGCAGAAGCTGTGTTATGCTCGGGTGTTGGGTAACCTTTGCTGCTTCTGAGCCCGTGACTCAGTCTGTGAAGAAAGCCGTAGTAAATCAGATTATTTTGAACTTTTTTTTTAGGGAAAATGAGTGCTGAAGGGCACCAGCAGTAGTGTAATAATGCCTTGCGTCGCTTTGTCCTTATCTTCAAAGGAGAACGGATCATTTCTGACTTAAAGGGATCTGCCTGGCACGGAGCTGGGGAGATGAGGAAGGTTCATTTCACTCCAGCCCCTGGAGAGCAGGTGTTGGCATCGGAAAGACTGTGCTCGATCCAGGACTTGCTCCAGGGCAGGAGGGGATGTGTGCTAGCAGGGGCTGTATTTTAGGCAGTTTTGTAGTTGTGTCTGAAGGTTTTGTTTCTAGGGATGAAAGAAACAGGGACGACAAACGTTTTTAGTGGGAGCTCGTCTGGATTGCAGTGGGATATATTCAGGAAATATTTACGTTGCTGTTTTGTGTGTGGATTGCCATATTGACAAATTTAGGGGTCGGGGTCCATCAGACTAAGAGCTGACTGGACCCGAGCAGTGTGTTACATACGGGTGGTTTATGTGTGCTCGTACATGTGTTTTACAGCACGGGGATTATTTTGTAACTCGGCTGTCAGTGGTGCAGGGCACCATTCCCAGTGCCTGGGAATGTCCCTGTGGGCAGCCTTGGGCCGTGCCGTTTCCATGCTGGTACACAGGATAGTGGAGTTTGCTCTGGGACACTGCCCTTGGCTTAAGAACCACTTGGGGACTTGGAGGTTCACCTTCAGACCTGGCATCTCCCAAAATCTGATCCTCTGTGAGAGGTTTGCCTTACCTGCTATTGCAAAGCCTGATGGACCTTGCTGGGATCAATGAAAGCTCCACCTCTCTGGCTTAATTTCTTTTTGTTATTCCAGCGTTTGTCTTTGCTGTTAAAATAACAAGCTGTGCTTTTTGGTGAGTTGTGATCTTTCACTGATGTTTGAGGAAGCAAGGTAATTCTATACTTTTTTTTTTCCAGTGAGCTTTTTTAAGACTTTGAAAATTATAAAAGAAAATTCCCTAAATATGAAAAATAACATACTGCTTTTAACCTGAAGATATTTTGTTGAAGTTCTCAAAACCCCCATGTTCCATACCTTGCCAAGTAACAATAAAACAAGATAAAGGTTTTCTCAAGCAGGGGCTTATGACCACCTTGTGTCTTGGAGCAAACTGTTGCTGAGTGGCAACCTTATAGAAAGCACAACTTTAAATTAGTCTAGAAATAAAATCTACTGGTTTTCATTCAGAAAGGCCATGAAATTTATTTACAGATTAGCTGCCTGATGTTAACTCAAAATAACCTACACTTCTCCAGCCCATTCAGGTGCTCCATGAGATGGAGACTCCTTGTCTCTCTCGTGTTCAGGTTATTAAAACCCCAGTGGCAGCGTTTGCTTTCAGTTTTAGCTGTGAAGACTTAACCAAGAGCAGTGTATGTGGGAACGGGTAATATGTTAACTTAGCAGCTGGCCTCGCCGAGATAAACATGCGCTTTTCCAAATGCTGTCATCTGGCCCCTTTCCAAAACAAGCTGAAGGAGGAGGTCAGGGGTGGAGCCATCCCTTGCTTCAGTAAAAAGAGGCTTTCATTTGGAAAGAATTGCCAGAGCGTATTGACTACAAGAAGTGCAGATTTAGAATGAAAGGGCCAAACCTTCCCTAAGTAAAGCACATAGTCTCTGGTGGTGACTTAAATCTCGGTACCTTGTTACCGTGCTGCTTCTCTTTGAAGGTCCAGCAGCTTAAATGCAGAGTGCATATTGCTGCTTAAAAAAAAAATAAATCAGTGCTTTATGTAAGGCTTTGAACATTAGAACTGATGAAAAATGTATCGTCTTTGGTTACAGTAGAGACCCGCAACACAAAAGTGCTATTGTTTTAATTGTTTAAAATTCAGATTACAAGATAATGGTAATACCATTAGAAGGTTTCCCTTTGGCCTGGAAGCTGCAGGTAGGAGTGTGTCGATCCCTCAGTATTAAAGATGAATGATAAGGAAACCTCTTAAATGCCTGTGACGCTGCAGTCTAGCCAATTTAGGATCAGCTGATGCCTTCTAGTGATAATGGCTTGAGGTTTTCAGCTGTATTATGAAGATATCAGCCAGGGCAAATAGTGTTTAGAGGAGAAGTATACTTTATTGAATGGGGAGATGATCTAGAAGTGACAGTAAATTGCATTACTAAATGATCTATGTGCTCTGCACAGTCTCTTCACTGGCAAATGCTGTTGGTAAAATGAAAGATGGTTCATGTATGAAAGCAGAGGAATCAAAGTATTATTTGATCTTCCTTTAGGAAAGGAATCTGTGCTATTTTTGAAAACTGTTCTGCCAAAAGCACAGCTTAGTTGTACGTCTTAAATCCCCAAAGTGGATATATTTAGTTATTTTATTGTTCCTTAATCATAGTTAACTTCTAAAATTACTTTATCATGGTTAACTTTGCTGTGGCTTCACACACAGAGTTACATCTGTGTTTTCTGAAACTTTCTTTGTGCAGCTTCCTGCCTTGTCACTAACATGTTTTAAAATCTCCCGCACAAGATAAAAATGTCTGAACCTGATCATAACAAAACTGCCGTTTCTTGCACAGAATAGCCACAGTGCTCCTTGAGGTTGTATCAAAGATGGTATCGCTCCCAGAAAACACAGCACCTCTTTAAAACATGCATCTGATTCTTTTTGTCTTTTTTTTTTTTTAAAGTGTAGCATATCTCCCTCTTCATCCCAATTAAAAGGCTTCTGTCACTGAAGGCAGCTGTGAAATAACTGGCTGCTCTTACATCTCATGGCTCAGGGTACCAAGCAAATCTTGAGTGAGTTTTGGTCTCAGCCCTGGGTGTGAATCAGCACTGTAATTTTTCAGCACCGAGGTCTTGAACGTAGTTGTAATTCAAGCTCATAAAATATTCGAAGCCCTGACGGTACCGAGCTCTGCTTTCTGGAGCTCTTCCCCGTGGGTTTGCAGCCAAGGATGGCTGAGAGCGAGAACAGTTATCTGTGCTGCAGCAGTGATGGTTTATGGCTGGGTGCCCAGATTGTCTGGCTTTGCACACAGCTTTATAGTTTGCCTTTGAGGGCTGTGGAGGAGGTGGAAGTCATTTGTAATAAACAGCTATCTGCAGCC